ACGCTGCTATGTGGACATGCAATATAGACACAGGGTCATAAACCTTTCTCATCCTTCCATCCTTGTTAGTCAGAGGTGGAAAACAGCCCTTTTTGCTACATTTCCACACAGATTAAGACCAAAATATGCTTCTTTTTCTTCCTTCATCTATAATACTGACTGAAAAAGTGTTGGTTATGATGAGATATATAAATATTTCTGCTCTATCTGGGAAGAAATTGGAATGGCTCATTTGTATCATTTGGTATTAATATCATATTATTCTGTACCTATATATGTATAAAGCTAATGTGTACAAAGCATAAGGTGTAAACTTTGTATTCAGCTGGTTTTTATTGTTTTCACTGCATAGTTTTGAAAGGGCTGTCTGGATTCCTCTCTGGATCACTTTTGCTTGTTTTCTACTAGCCTTGGAAACCTTAGCTTGAAAAAAACAAAAACGGTCCATAAGAAAATCAATGCACCAACATTTTTGAAAAGTACAGAGGACAACAGTGATAATTATGAGCCTATTTGTCTGATATTGACCTTCAGAACAGTAATGAAATGGTTGATTCAGTTCAATTAATAAAGAGTTAAAAGAGGTTACTTTAATTATTGCCAATCAACATGGTTTGTGGTGACAGGACTTGTTAATCTGGGTTTCGACGTTTTTATGAGATTGCAAGTTTGATGGAGAAGTCTGCTTATTTTATATAGTTAGACATTTCCAAGGCATTTGATTTGGCACAAAAAGATTGTCAATATTTTACGGGCTGGTTCGTTATCTGTATTAATACAAGGGTATTTCATGATGTAGAAAGAATAGTGGAAAATCATTCAGTGGGTTCGAAACCTTATTCCTGGGCTTCAAAATGTTGTTGTAAATGGGGATTATTAGAAAGTAGCCACACTCTCAGAGCAGCCCTGGTAGGTTCCTTTATTCACTCAATAAATATTATGTTTTGGAAAATACGTAATTGTATTTCCAGTACCATCAAATATGAAGTGACATCAAATGATTGCTCTCAAATCTTCACCCTTCAAATCTGTATATTTCCAATTTGGAGAGATGAATATTGTGAGGGACTGTGTCCAAGGCCTTACTCATGTCCAGATAGGAGACATCAGTGACTCTTCCCTTGTCCACTTATGCACTTACACCATCCCAGAAGGCCTCTAGATTGGTCCAGCAGGATTTGCCCTTGGTGAAGCCTTCTCAATGTCCTGTATCTCTCTTCTATGTGCCTTAGCATAACTTCTAGGAAGATCTGCTTCATGATCTTCCCCTGGGCAGAGGTGATGCTGACATGATGGTAGTTCCCTCAGTCGTCCTTTCTACACTTCTTAAGAATGGATGTGACACTGCCTTTTTTCCAGTCAACAGGGACTTCATGACTTTTCAAGTATCACTAAGAGGCTTGTTGAGTACATCAGCCAGTTCCCTCAGGACTTTGGGACGCATCTCATTGGGACCCATAGACTTATGGATGTTCAAGTTCCTCAGGTGGTTGCAGACCTGATCGTTGCTCTCCCATTCCCCACCCTCCAACTCATCTGCTTGAGGAGTGTGTGAAGAACCCTTACTGGTGAAGACCATGGCAAAACAGTTGCTGAGTATCACAGACTTCTCCTTGTCCATTGATACCAGCCTGCATGCATATCTCAATAGAGGAGGGTGGGGTGGGGGGGAGGAATAAGCAGTCCTGAACTTTTCTGGTTGATGTACCTGTAGAAGCCTTCCTTGTTCTTTACACTCCTTGCCAAGTACTATTCCAACTGGGCCTTGGCCTTTCTGACCCCATCTCTATAAAGCCTAGCAAATTCCTTATGAATTCAGGCAGGGATGAAGTGTGGCATCTACTGTGGAAACTTTTAGGGGAGCATAAAAGTGTTTTTTTGGCCTCATCAGTTACACTTCTGAATCTTAAAATAAATGAGTGATTCTTTTTAAAGACAATGCAATTAAGTAGTGCCTGTTGGTGGTAGTGCCTGTTGGTGCCAGAATTTTCAGGACAAATGATCAATATTTTTAAGTTTAAAAAGAATAATTTCCTTCCATATTTGATGTTCAAGCTGCTGTTGTATTTTTCTAATTCCATGATCTGTTTGCAATTTCATACCATCACTGCTGAGTGCTAATAAATATGCATCCTTGGAAAACTGTTCATTGAGATAACACATAGTTGTTTCACAGTACCCAGTAAAAACAACGCAGTGGGAATTCTTGCTTGTAAATATTACCTTACATATCCTGAACATACCAAAACAGAATTGAATTTTGAATTCAGACCAAAATGTGAAGGATATACCAATGAGAAGAATGCTGCACTGGTGAGGTATTTGCACAAGCTGGGGTTCAGAACTTCTCGTTTCAGTTGCCTAATAGCATCTTCATAGCCCACTCATCTGATCTGTCACTGCAGTCGGGGATGAGAAACAAGCAGGCCCAGAGGTGGTTCATCCCCATGTTAATAAATGGTAGCTTGTAAGTCCCAATAGTTCTACTTGGGTAGCTTTTCTTTGGTAATGCAAAGAGCATGGATACAATCATGGATAAAATATAACCACAGGTGCATCATTTTATTAGAATATTTGCTAGTTTCAAAGACTATCTAGTTTTATAGCTTTCTGGATGTATGAGGAGTGGCTATTGCCCTTGGATTGTTCAGCCTAGAGAAGAGGAAGCTGAGGGAAGACCTCATTGTAGCCTATGGCTTCCTCAAAAGAAAGCAGAGGGGCATGCATTGATCTCCTCTTTGCTGTCCAGTGATAGGACCAGAGAGAACAGCATGGAGCTGTGACAGGGTGAGTTCAGATCAGTGTCAGGAAAAGGTTCTTCACCAGTGGATGGCTGAGCACTGGAACAGGCTCCCCTGGGCAGTGGTCATGGCATTGAACTTGCTGGAGTTCAAGAAGTGTTTGAACAATGCTCTCAGATGTTCGGTCTGATTTTTGGGTCGTCTCCTGAGTGGAGCCAGGAGTTTGCAGAATCATAGAGTCATCAAATGGCTTAGGTTGGAAGGGACCTCAAGGAACATCAACTTCCAACCCCCCTGCCTCAGGTGGGGTTGCCAGCCACTAGATCAGGTACTGCATCAGGTTGCCCAAAGCCCCATCCAACCTAGCCTTGAACATCTCCAGGGATGCGGCATCCACAGAGTCTCTGGGCAGCTTGTTCCAGCACCTCATCACCCTCTCAGTGAATAAAGATGGGCTCTCTTTGGACTTGATCCTTGTGGGTCCATTCCAATTTGTCATATCCTATGATTTTGTGTTTGTTTTGTTTTCTCCGTGAAGGGCATAGGAATGGGTAATTTCCAGAAGTCAGCACCTATTTCTTGAATGGCAAATAAAGCAACCTTCACAAAGGTTCATGCATGTTCTGCCTCAACCAAATCTCGTCTGCCTCGAGAGATTTTCAGGCATAATTTTGCAAGAATATGAGAGAGCCTTCTACATCACAGAGGCTTTTTGCTAGTTTTTTACATACTTCGAAAAAAATTCGTTATGAGTAATCTATAAAAACAAATTAGCATTGTTAATTTTTGTCTGTGTTCTTAATTGGAAATCTACTGATTCCTTCCAGTAAGCATCAAGCTTTCTTCCATAATTGTTAAGATTTTAAGCACATCACTGTAAAGCAAATTAATAATTTTGAACTAATTTGGCAAAAGAGTTTTTGAGAGATTCCTGTTTTGATGTTTTTACAAAAAAAACCAAAAAACTAAGAAAACTAAAGTGGAATTTCTTTGAACCTCACCTCTTGTATGCTTTTAGATACTAACTCAATGCAAGAATTCTTTGTCTTGATAGTGTCTCTCACATTGAAGGTTAGAGTACAGGTTTACTGAGACAATCATACCTTCTATTAAATCTCTTTTCATTAAGAAGTCATCTGTCTGGTCTGTAAAGCATGGAATTCTTTTTTTTGGGTCCCACTTTGGTATGAATATTAGACCAAATCTTTAGTCCCTGCTATATCTGCAAATTTTAATGCAAACATTTTGCTGAGTTTCTTTCTTCTTAGTTTTGGCTGTTTTAACATCTCTGTTGTTTGCTTTTCTGTAACTTCATTACAAATTTTGTTGGTATGAATGTTTATTAAAGAGATTCCTTCCGTAAAGGTATTTTTACAAACACTTATTTGAGAAAATGTATTTGCAGAAATGTCAGTGCTTACTAATACTTTTACTGGAGACACTCACCTATTTCCAGAATTTCTAAGAGGAAGAAATAAAGGAGAGGAGAACAAAGGAAAGTCAGAGGAAGATGATTTCAAGAAGCATAATATGAGCATCAAATAAGTGATTGCAATACAACCAAAGGTGTAGAGACGTAAATGTGCTTAGTGTGCTTGTCTAGTGATGGTGAGTGCAGTTATGGATGAGCACTTTCACATATGAAAGAACTTGAACTGACCAGTTTAATTATTTAGTCTTTTGTATTATTTCTCCTCTCACTACTTTTTTTTTCCAGCTCTTAATAATCCTGATCGACCCTGACAAAAAGAGACAGAAAAGTCAGTGAAAAACATTCATTTACACACAGGTTTATTGATTGTCATTAGAATCAAAGCAAAGGAAATTTTTATTTTATTGTATTACTGAGCCGATGAAAAAAAATTGAAATAGACCAAATCCTGAGATTATCAGAAAGGAGTTGATTAGTTTCATTTTGAAGCTAGAATTAATTTTGGTAATTGTTATGGGCAATAATTGTCTGGTCTACAGGGCTAACGTTTTTCAGGCCAATAGAAAGATTCCTAGTAATTTAAGTAAGAGATAGCTATGACTATGTGTGAGTAACATGGTCTACATTAATTTTATCTTAATGCCTTTGTGGAGCTCAAGAAACAGACAATGTATTTTGCAATGAAAACACTGACAATATTCAGTGGCTGCTTTGTAAGTTGTCATCTTATGAAGTTAGTAACTGGCAGACTTTGTGTTTTAGCTTTTCCCTATCAGTGTAGAGAGTACATACATTCATGCTCGTTAATCTTTCCTGTCCTTCTCCAGAATAAGTTGTACCATGGACATGCTTCAAATTTTAGTGGCTTTGCTTTTGAAAATGTGGCACTGGATTCTGTCAGCTGTTGTGGTACCCGGGAGATACTTGCCAGATGTCCCACAACCTCTTGGTGAGATAGAAAATGGCCTTTTGTGACATCTTTCCTGGAAAAAATCTTCACTTACAAATGGTAAATATAACAGACTTTTACATGAAAGAATGTATTGAACTCAACGGTAAGTATTTATTTTCTCTTCCATTGTTGATATGTTGTATAATGAAAAGTTAAATGTTGAGTTATTCTGCAGGCTACTGTTCATTTTCTGATTGCACACGTGTAATTTTTCTCATCCAAAATTGTTCTATTTTCTACTATCATAAAAGATTCCACTGATACTGATAGGTTATTATCAGTCATGGCTGTGTTCTGTGAACATAAATGTGGTACTCATTTACATCTTTTTGACACTTTTGTCCAAGAACATCATGAGCCATGCAGATGGCATTATTTGCTCCACAGCTCATCTCCTTGACACTTTCTGGATCTGTGCTGTATTTCACTGATGGGTGTTCTTTGTGGAAAGGTTATGTTCTGCCAGCATATTTACAAATGCCCCGTCTGCCTTCACACATCTTGAAAATTGATTCATGTGATAAACCAGTGTGTCCACATCAGGCCAATAGTCCTATTCAAGGAATGTAAGACAAAGTTATGCCCTTTGCGGAACTTCGAATTTCTCCCTTAAAAGAGAGACAGAGAGAAGAATGTTTTTTGTTTGCATAAGAGAAGAAAATTTAAAAGTTCAAAGGGGGAAAATGTATCGTGGGTTGTTTTTTTTGTTTTGTTTGTTTTTAACACTGTGCTCATTCTGATGAGCTGCTCTTGTGTCTTTGTTCTGCAGAATGTCTTCAAGACAGTGGTATATAAGTGGAAAGACAAGGAGGAAAAACACATCACGGCAAGACAGAAAGCTAAAAAAAATAAATAGTGCTCTGATACAAATCAAACTGCAGTCAACTAAGAAAAATTCTTTTTTCCTACTTGTTTCTGAATCTCAGTCTTCCATATTGTGCTGTCTGTCATTTTCTACAATAAGACAAGTATGTTAACAGAAAGGCTGTTTATGTATTCAGTTTTTCAAGTTGTACGTTAAACTCATGACCACTTCATGGAAAGTGAAAATAAAGCACCTTTCAGTGCAGTGGCACTTGCCAGAAATCAGAAAGCTGATGGGAATGTGACAGCACTGTCCAGAAAAGGCACAGCTGTAGTTATTGCTTGAAATTGCACAAGAAAAATATCTTTTTTTTTTTTTTTTATAATAATGGTATCAAAGACATTAGAAATTGCTTACATGAAATATAAGTAGAAGAACAACTGTATACATGTGTGTGATGGACCTAACAGTTTCCCCAGTTTCTGTTTGAATCTGCTACAGAAAAAAAGGTGTTGTGCTAGGAACTTCTCATCCTGCAGTAATTGCATTTCTAGGGGGTATTAAAAAACACTGATTAGTTCTTTGAAAGAGCATCTTGAGAAGATCTTAATGTAGAAGAAAATGTCAAACTATCTACAGTCCTGTCTGCTATTTTGTCCTGCAAAGCCCTTCTTTGTGAAATTTAAGAAAAAGGCACAGAATGGGAAGAACAGTCCCCTCATTAATTTGCTTTGAAAAGGAACATTTGCTTATGTTAAGGAACGTAAATTGTAAATGCTTTATTTACTAAACAACATTGTAGAGCAGCTGAAGTCTCACTAAGAGCCTGTCTGATTCAGGTTTGCACAGAAATCTTTTTATTTCCTGTCTGTCATTCTTCTCTTGGGTTATTGTGGCATTTCACAAAACTTCTACCTAATTCTCCTGCGTATTTTCAAAATGAGCCTGTTACCACTGGCTTTGGTTATTTGATAGGTGCCTAAATGTAAACAGTGCCTCTCATAGCCTTAGCCCAGGAAACCTCAACCTCCAGAGCTTTACTGTATTTTGCATCCAGTTTTTCCAATTTTGCTGGAAGCACTACTCATTCCTGTAAATGAAACTTAATTTGAATTGAATTTCTCATTTCACTAATGCAGTGAAATACTTTCCTTCTTTTTCTCTGCTTTTCTCTGTTTTTCTTCCCATCCCCACCACCTCCTATTTTAGGAAGTATAGAAGTCTCAACACATGTAAGCAGTAACCATTTTGTTGTGCATACAGAACAAAGAGTTTTCTAAGTGGCAATGGAAAGACATTTGGATGGATGCTGTCTGTTCCCATTCCCTGTGGTGCCATTGCAGATAATGAGTGTCCTTTTAGGACTGAGTAGACGTAGACAGGCATGGAGATGTTGAACACTAAGGATTAACTCAAAAAGTTGGGTCAGAGAAGAGATAAAGTATATAAAACATACAGATTCAAGAGAAAAGAATGAGATTAAGGACAGTCTTACAAATCAGTACAGTCAAGAGTGAGACTGCTGCATTCTCTTCACTGAAAAGCTAACACTCCCTTTCTTCAGAAATGTTCAAAAGTAATAAACAGTGCCTTGAACTCCTCCAGCGTCCTTTCTTTTAACCTTATCCTTCTGTCACTCCCCATGTTATGTCCACTAGGGAGATCCTCTTCTCCTTCAAAAGCAAGCAGCTCAATTAGAAAAGCAGCAGCATTTGCAGCACAGCCCCTTCAGTACTGCAGCCTCCTTTAATCCAACCTAAGCTGAAAGCATTCATTTATATGTCTGTTCTGCCACAATGGAACATATTGATTATCAATACAGGGACCGCATTTTCAAAACAAGTCAACTGTAGGGCTTGCTGTGTACAGTTGTGGCACTGTTGTGAAAAGAGCCTTGCTCTGTGACATTTATGGACACGTTCTCAATAGATGTTATTTCCAGGGCTTCATTACCTTTACTGTAGTCTTTTTTATTTATGTGGCCCAAGGGATAGTGGTGCTGAGCTCTTCTTAACACCTACAAACTGTCATCTGCTCTGTCATTTCATTAGCATAGTGGGTCTATAATCCATGAGAAAATTGGTAATGCTGTGATGACAGAAACACATATGAAAAGACAATGAGTACAATAAATATTGCTAATTCTTAATCAGAAAGCATTCTGATGCATTGCTCACTTTTGCATTCAATTCTGAATGTCCATTTCTAACTCGAATTGTAAAAACATTGCATTTGGCAAAGCTGTGGATTTATATTGAAAAGTTTTTTTATCTGTGTAAAGTATTCTATGCAAAGTATTTGGGTAGCTGGACTAGATGGCTCTCAGAGGTCCCTTCCAACTCTAAAAATTCTATGATTCTATTCCTGCCATAATGATTATTCCATGGAGCAGTTGTACAGTCGTATTGTTCTAACCTGAACTGACTCTACCCAAGAGGAGGTCTTTTCCCTGTGGAAAGATCCAAAGAGCCAAAATCTACCAATTACTGCTTCAACTGCTTTTGTGCAAGGTGTGTAATTTCCTCTGCATCTTCTCAGTGTAGCTGTAAAAATAGAAATAACAACTTGCACTTTGCCTTTTCCAAAACTTTTTATTTTCAGCTGTAGTCCTGGGCAGAAATCCTTTGTAGAGAAACAAACCAAAGGGAAGAAAAAAAGAATATGCAAAATACAAATATATAATCATTAGTTCTATTTTAGATTTCATCTGTCCCGTTTGATGGTTCCTAAAATATCTCTGGACAATGTAGGATTAAGGAATTATTGACAGAAATGCACACAGTAATTCCAAGTAAGCAAGAAGGGTTAATATCTAAGGTATTTTGAAAGATAGTAATGTGATTTTATATCTTAGAATTTTCTTTATCAATGCCCTCTCTTTGAGACAGTGATGTGATGATAGAATAGTAGTTACATAATGCAGTGGGAACTGCTCTGCTGCTTGATTTCAGATTGCCTTAAGTTTTTTGGTCCTGTGGTTTCTCTTTTGACTGGATGGGCATCTTCATTTCCACATGATTTTCTTTGTTCTAACCAATAACATGAGGAGGTGTTCTCATTGGACTGCTTAATTAAAAAAAAAAAAAACATCACTAATTCAGTAATTTCTCAGAATTTCTGTTGTCTGTGATCCAGAAGGATTCAGATTCAATTCAGTCACTTTACTGCAGTTTTCTGCAAACTCAGAAGATGTTCGTGGTGACAGCTACCCATGCTGTGATCTGCACTTAGTTCACTGCTCACCCACTTCCCAGTGTCAGGCTTTTAAGTGCTCACTGATCACTGGTCCATTCAACATGACTGTGCTCTGATACCTACTAAAGAAACGGATGAGCAATTACTTGGGGATCTTTAAAAAAGAGATCATTTAGAACGATCCCTTCACCGGATTCTTTTTGTGTAACTTTAACCATCTGCAAGTTTGGCACCTATTATAAGTCATTTGGCCAGGTTCCTGGAATTGACAGGGAATGATAAATAACTCCAGGGTGCAACTCATCCTATCCAAACACAGGTGCCTAAGAACACTGGAGCAAATAAAATGGATCCGTGTGTGACTACAGAATCTTAGATTATCCTTACTTTATCTTATTTTCTCCAGAAGCACAAAAAAGCCTAACTCAGACAGCCAAAAATAGAATAAAAATTCCACTTTAGAATTAAAAAAATGTTTTCCTGTTTTCCAAAAGTTGGAGATTTGTGGTTTATTAGTAATTTGGGGGCAGCTTAGGAAAAAAACACCAAACATTTGACTTTATAAACGCACACCTTATTTTCAGATTCCTTATTCCTTAATTGTAAAATGAGCACTCAAAAAGAAAGCCTGATAGTACCAAAACTGAATGGAAGATTGTTTAAGAAAAGTAGTATTGTTGATAAGTGAGGGTAATTTTTGGAAATTGTGTTGGAAATCTGAAGAAACAGAGTTTTGCACTGACAAAAGTTATTTTCATCACTTAAAAAAGCAGTGCTCACTAAGAGGGAGGTGAAGTCTGTGATAAAAAATAATGGAAAAAATATGGTGCCTGATAACAATGAATAAAATCAGTATAATGCAGAAAACTGATAAAGAAAACTAAAGCAATCAGCTGAAAAATCTATTGCTAATAGGGCAAAGATAACAAGAAATTCTCTAAGGAGACACCAAATGCTTATGGTGTTACAGAACTGTGGAGAGTAAAATTGTCAATCCTGCTAGAGAAAATGTAGGATTAAATAAAGATGTCTGTTTTCTGAAAGAAGAATGAAATATTTTATTTTCTGTCATTTCTAAGGAGAAGTGCTAAACAGCAACAGCAAATATTTTTAAGTTTACAGAATTAGATAATTCACAGTCAAGAATATTACTTGTCTGTGAAGCTGTCTGTACTATTCCTATCCTTTATAACAAATCTGGCAGTTCCAGAAGTACAAAAAAATAATAAAATGTCTATATTGTTTTGTTATTTTTACTTCTGTTGTTGTTGCTTTTGTTACATTGTTTTTTATACAAACTTGAAAAGTGTCGTAATGGAGCAACTAGAGTGGTCCTCTGTGCTGAACTTTAATCCTTCTTCCCACCCAATCCAATTCTTCTGCTTCTCCAAAGGAACAACTGCTTCCGTAGCTTCTCTGAACTGATCTGGAGGCCACAGGGAGCTCAGGGCAATCTGCTGGACTCTCTTGTTTTTCCAGTCTAGCAGCTCAGAGGATGCCAATCCCAGTCCCAGTCTTTCCCATTTAGTCAGAGCTCAGGGAAGAAATGATGAGGTGTCTTGGGGAAGAAAGGATGGTAGGGAGCAGATAGGGTGCTGAGGCTGTCCCAGTTGATGGTCAGATCTCAGCAATGATCTGGCGTAGATGAAGATCGAGAGCTCCTGGTGAGCCTCTGATGGACTTGACAACATCTCCTGGCAGACACAATGTGTTATAGTGCCTGCTGCTCCATGATGGAGGAGGACCCACCAACTGGAGGGTCCACCACCGTGGGCTCATTGTCTCACCAGGGATGTCAGTATCCATCGGCTGGGACTCACTGCTGCTCCCGTGAAGCTGGAGCTTCGTAGGTGGAGGAGGATCCCAACCCATCCTGCAGCCATCCCACACCATCATGTCTGCAGCTCTGCCCCTTTGGTGGCCCAGCCCAGCCCCGGGCACACACACACACACCGCTCAGCAGCAGTCAGCAGTTGTGTGCTGTTGGCACTGCCTCAGCTGAAAGCAGAACATGACAAGGGCACAAGGCAGTGTAACTTAAGTTGTGGCAAATAATTGCATGCATTTGATACATTGGCTGAACACAGTCCTGTGAACAGCAAAAAATATTAATCCATGCTTTCTGTTTGAGAGAATTTGAGAATAAGTTTCGAGGTTGCTGAAAAAATCTTTTTTTTTTTTTTTTTGGTATATTTGTGACTCCATTTCAGTCAAAGTAAATAGGTTATCTATATGTAGATGTTGAACTCACAGAACAATTTCGTTTTTCTTTAGCAGACTTTTTTAAGCCTTCTTTTACCAGAGACAGATAGCCCTCTCTTCACAATCAGCCTTGATCATGTCATCACTTTTTGGCAGCACACACATTTGTGAACATGTTTTCAAGGATCAAGTGCAGGAAGAGTAAAATTTCATCAGAAATCTCTGAGGAACACCTTGAGACCTCAATGAGAATTGCACCCACTGCCATTGAACCAGACACATACATTAATTTCACAGAAACAAGGTCAAACATCTCATTAGTCAAACATCTCTCTTTTTTTATCTATATTTTATTTAAAAAAATATTGTTTTGTTGCTTCTCCACGTTAATTATATGATTTTATTATATATATTATATGAGGCCCTAGACAATTCCTTGCAGGTCCATAGGAAGGCCACTAAGATGATCAGAGGGCTGGAGCACCTCTCCTATGAGGAAAAGTTGAGGGAACTGGGCTTGTTTAGCTTGTAGAAGAGAAGGCTCTGGGGAGACCTCATTGTGGCCTTCCTGTACTTGAAGGCTGTTTAGAAGGGTGGACAGTGATAGGACAAGGGGGAATGGTCTTAAACTGAGACAGGAGAGGTTTAGGTTAGATATTAGGAGGAAGTTTTTCACACAGAGGGTGGTGACACACTGGAACAGGTTGCCCAAGGAGGCTGTGGATGCCCCATCCCTGGGGGCATTCAAGGCCAGGCTGGATGTGGCTCTGGGTAGCCTGGTCTGCTGGTTGGTGACCCTGCACATAGCAGGAGGGTTGACACTAAATGATCTTTGAGGTCCTTTTCAACTCAGGCCATTCTCTGATTCTATGATTCTGTGATTCTTCACTCATTGCAGCCCAGGCAAGCCAATGTGTTGGGCACACATGATTTAAGTGGATTTCAGTCAATGTGACATTGTGGAAAGTAAGGCTGGGTTTTTTTTGTTGTTGTTTTGGCTTTTTCCCAGTGATTTTGTGTCTCGGTGAGATCATAAAATAATTTCATAGAGTAACTGTCCCAGTGGAACCTATTGAGATGTACAGTTTTATAGACAGTGTGTGGCTGGCAGGTGTGATACAGCATCCGCAGCCACTCAGTGCCTGTCTGGAGCAGGCAGCAGGCACGTGTTATGCCAGAGGTGTCTCAACAACAAACAGTTGGATTTAGACAGCTACATTATCCCCTGGTGCCCACACTGGGTGGGATTCATGTGCTTCATGAGAGGTACCCCAGAATTAAGACATCTGTGTCAGAACTACATTCTTTTTAGAGACAATAGAGAAAATAGGTACCTGCTGATGTGCTTCACCTGACTTAGCTGAAATGGCTGTCATAGGGTTAGGTGAAACATCACCAAAAAGCACTGAATTTCCCTTCATCATCTGGGGGGAAACTTAGTGAAACTGAAATTAGATGAAAGCAACCCAATGCAGTGCAAAAAGAATATTGACAGCTCAGAAAGAGTTTGGAAAGATCTATAGAAGCATTTCAGGGTTTGGAAAAGGTGCTTTCTAGTGTGGAACTAAAGAAGAGCAATCAATTCTATTTGTCCAGAAAGGTTAAGAGGTTGCAACCTATGGTTACATCTGAAGAAAAAGTGGTTGGTAGTTGGAGGCTCTTTAATCTGCCAGAAAAAAAAAAAAAAAAAAAAAAAAAAAAGGAAAATAAAAAAAGCATAACATCGTACAGCTGAAAGCTTAAAGTAACACAAATCAGTGCAGAAATTACAGTACAATTATTTACAATGTAGGTAGCTGTGAGAATATTCCAGCTGGTGACTGTAAAATCTTCTCATTGCCTTAAGTGGGTATCTAGACACTATGCTACCATGCAAAGCAAACAGATGAGCTTGGTTAAATTCCTGGGGAGATTTTGTGGCCTGAGATGCATCAAGCAATATACTGAAAAGTTACAGTTACTCATTTGGCTTTGCAATTTCTGAATTAATTTTTTTTTTTTTTTTTTTTTTTTTTTTTTAGTAAGGTGGAAAGGAAGCATTGTACCTTCATCAGTGTTGCTGCAAGTCCCCAAGAGGCCTGCGAGAAATTGTTAACTAAGGCCAACAAGGAAGGTGAAAAACAGGAAAGATGATAAAGAGGGCAAAGGGAGAATAACCATGCAGAATTTCCTCTCCCACTGCTATATGTTAGGTTAAAATAATTATGATTTGGTTTTTGGATCTAAAATGTATATTGTGCTTTATTTCCAATTTACTTTTCTTTAAGTTTTGGAAAAAAAATGCATCTAATAATATATTTGTATATGTATATAGTCTCTTGTATATATAAGTATTTGTATAACATATGTATTGATTTGTCTGCTACTTTGTCTTCATTTTTTTCTCTCTTCCCTCTTTCACAAACAAATAAAAAATCCAAACAAACCAAAATCATAAAAATGGGAAGGAGAATTGCAGGTACTGTAAGATTTTTAACCAACTCATCTTCCTGCCTGGAAATCAATTGAGAAGGACATGTTCCTTTTTCTTCATGCCACTGCACACAGAAAAGAAATATGCAATAATGTCTTTTCAGAATTTAATGAACTTTGAAAAACAGTCCTATATAAGCAGGGACTCATGTCCTTATACTAACAATTACATGATTTTGATGGTACTTACGTGCTTTTATCTTTTTTTCCAGCACTTAAAAAAATAAAAAAATAAAAAATCTACAACTTATATCCACAAAGACTTAAGTTGTTTCTTTACATCTTTATAAAGCAGCTGCCTCTGAAGTGCCTTTATAAATGAGAGCATTTTACAACACAGCATCTTGTAGAGGCCTCTTCTGCTGGGAATGCAGGCAGCCTTAACCCACTTGGTATTATGCCTGGAACTCATATATATCTATATATTGCTTGCTGTTTATAACCATTTTTATTAGTGTGCCTTTTTTCAGTACACAGTTTTGTGGAGCAAGCAGCTGTTCATTTGTTTTGTCAGTAATGGAAAGAAGACTTGAACAGCTGATGACAGGTAATTTGGGCTGATGTTCAAGCTCTCATAATAGAACTGTGAAGAAAGCTATCACTTTATCTTACAGTGTCTGTATGCGTGTGACAAGACTTTCAGAGCAGAAGAAGAAATTTGCACTTCACAGGGTAAATAATAAAACATGAGAGAATAGACAGTGGTGTTAAGAATGACGCATAGGAAAGCTAGACACAGAAAGCCATATCCAGGCTGGATGTGGCTCTGGGCAGCCTGGGCTGGTGGTTGGCGACCCTCATGTAGCAGGGGGGTTGAAACCGGATGATCATTGTGGTCCTTTTCAAACCAGGCCATTCTCTGATTCTATGATTCTATGATATCTGGTGCACAAGAAAGAGTTTTGCTGCTTCTACACTGCTGGAATTTTTGAAAACAATTCACGACTGCTGTGTGTTAGCACTTCTTCCACCAGTTTTCAATATTTGTACAAGTCTGGAGTGTGCTCAGAACATTTGTATTCCCTTGTTTGAGTAGGAGTGATGTCACCTAACTAGAGTTTCAAAGAGTTTCTGGGCAAATTTAGCATACTTGCATTTTGTCTCATTTCCACTTGTCATTCAGTCTCTGGAGATTTCTTCTTTCATGTGTATTCTGGCAGTTCTTTGTCAGCTCCTGAGTGTTTGCAGTAAATCAGCCCCATACTCATGGCCACCCTCTGTTTCCAGATCTACATCCATGCAGGAATTCATTTTTCCACCATCCCTCCAAGGACGCCGTTCCTCTGTGGTTTCACAGAAATGGCAGTTGCGGTAATTACAGCCGTCCTCCTGCTTTGTTCGACCTTCAAAGTAGCTTTTGTGTACACATCCCTGTCCTCTGCTGCTTTTCTCTGCCACTGGCAACCTTTCTGCCTGTCCTCCTTGGAGTTCAGGGAGTTCGCTGGTACCTGTGTTGCAGCAGTACTTGGCTCCCTGCTGCCACTTTTTAATTCGTTCTGTCAGCTTTCCTACCACTGCTGGCTTCAGAAGTTTATTTGCTGTAGGCAACAGAGAGTCCACATATGGAGTGCCTGGAGATGCTGTCCTGGCTGCTGCCCATGCCTTCTGTTAGTGTATGTCTCCAGTTGTTCAGCTGCTTCTTAGCTTGCTCAGGAAGCTGTGAAAAAGCTCTTTTTTTGCAGATATCCCCATTCATATGCATTGCAGATGGAGAATCGGTCATTTCTTGTGATGAGTAACTCAGTGGTTTTGCTTAGCATTACAGAAAATTAAAACAGAAAATATGCTATGAAGAGTTCAGGTGATGGCCCAATCATCAGAAACTATACGCCACACAAGAATGGGAAAAGCTACTCGGTTCAGCCAAATGCAGAGACTATTTAGCATATTCTGTATCATTATTTATTAGGATGTACTCATGAAGTATTTGCATACGCCAAAATATACTCTGTAGCTACTCACAGTACCTGAAAGCTTGCCACTTGCTTAGTAAAACAGTCTCCTGAATTATATGGATCCTCATGAGTCACTTATTGATTCTGTTCCTCTCTGTGGCTTCTCCCTCCCAGTTGTGGTGGTTTTGGCCTCGTTGTGCTTCAGTGTGACTGAAAGGTCGTTTTTCAACTTGTTGCATCCCCTAGATGTCACTGCACTCTTGCTGGTATTCTATCTCCATGCAGCAATTGGATTAAGAACAGATCATACAGCTTAATGATCTAGCATAGGGATGCAGCTCTTGGAATGCAAAATAGAGGAGGAAAAACTCTATGTAAGTTAATGAAAAGCCGGGGTGATAAGGAGATACAAATAAAGGTAAGCATTAAAGGTAGGGCAATGCATAAATGGCAAATAGACAAATCAATAATTAATGGCAGCACAAAACAGTCACCTTAGAAGTACAGGGCTCATTTTCCATTCTTTGAGGCGTACCTAATTGGCCACTGTAGATCAACAAAAAAGTTTCTGGATATTTTTGTCCTTGGTATTCTTCAGCATGACAATTCCTACCACGACAAGAAGAATTTGTCAATATTCAGACAAACAACCTGAACAGTACAAATAGTGGCGTTCTTACTTCCAAGTATAAAGGAATAATATAACTTTCTAGGAATATTTGTTTTTGATGCACTGTTGAATTTTTAATTAATCTTCAGCCATTGTAATTTTAAACCCACGTATAGGAACTTCTAAAATTAAACAACTGTGTGTTTCAAGCCCTGTAAATTGGACTATGAATTAATAATCCATCCACTGTATTATTTTTGAGGAATGAAGAGTCAGTTACTTGTCTTTTGTGATCTGTATTGGGACTTAGCCACCTAACTTGCTTTGACATTAATGAGACTCACACAGATAAATTGCCCTTAGGAACATAAGATTTCACCCTTCAGTCTCAAGCTATGCATTCAGTTACAACTGAAAGAACTAAAAACATATCCGGTTGTTATGGAAGACACATGCTTGGGCATTCTGCATAAAGAAGGAAATAGCAAAATAAGGTTATTTGTCAGGAACTAGAAAAATGCTTTATTTTATAAATGGCAGACAGGACAGATGGAACTAGAAGTCATGCAGCTAAGAAAAGGATCAAAGAAGAACAACTATTTCCTTGATGCAGGGAAGAGAAAGAAACAACAAAGTGTGCAGTACAGTGTGTGCTCTTGACATAGCAGGGTCAGCCAGGAGCTTAGAGAGACTTTTGAGAAGGGTAAAAAGAGCCGGAGTTAGGCAGAGGGAAATGCGTGAGTGTCTTGAAAAGACAGGAGGAAAAAAACCTGTATTTTAAGTTCCTTCTCTGTGAAGTTGCTAACTGCTGTTCTTGGTTTTTTTTTTTTTTTTTTTTTTTTTTAACAGTGCATTATGATATATATTGAGTTATTTTAATATTAAGGTGGCAGTGTCACTGAGTCTGGTGATGTTTACTTTCTAAAGGAAAACAAGGAGAAATAAATCTAGTGAAAAAAGCATGAACCTTCAGACTCAAGAACTGGAGTCTTTGCTTAGGAGTGTGGAGTGGAGGGAAAGAGGCAAAGGAATGAGCGACAGAGACATTTTAATCTATGCTTAAATCATTTTTATCTCAATCCTACAATTTATTTATTTTTTAACTTGACTGTGTCCGTGCTGGAGTTGTGTTTCAATTACAGTCTTATGGTACTAAGTCTTCTGCTTTTATTTAAAAAAATATATTTTAATGACTTCAGAAATCACATTAGAGGACTCAGCAGGCTGGTGAACACACAGTATCCAGGATACTTAATCCTGGACTCAGGTCCAGATGTAAACCCAAATGTTAGAATATACTGCTACGGGTCTTGGTGTAATTCACAGAATCACAGAATCACCCGGGTTGGAAGGGACCTCAAGGATCATGTAGTTCAGCGCTCTTTGGTGTCCCATGATCAAATCTGTTAAACATTCCTTCTTCATTTGTCTGGAGAAGATGGCTGCGAAGTCAGGTTCTAGTAGATTCTTAAGTGCATTTTACCAGGAAATGGTGAGATCACAGAATTATACAATCATGTAGGTTGGGAAAGACCTTCAGGATCATCAAGTCCAACCATCAACCTGACCTGCCTGACAAAATAAGTTTCTTAGTACCATGTCCATGTTTCTCTCAAATCCCTTCAGGGATGAGGACTCACATTCCTGAGCAGCCTGTTCCAATGTGTGATCACCTTCTCTGTAAGTTATTTCTGATATCCAATCTAAACCTCTCCTGCTACAACTTGAGTCTGTTTCCATATGTCTTATCACATATGATCTGAGAAAAGAGACCAGCACCTCTATTCAGGTAGCTGTAGAGAGCAATGAGGTCTCCTGGAGTCTCATCTTCTCCAGACTAAAGAGACTCAGTTCCTTCTGCTGCACATTGTAAGTCTTGTTTTCTCATTGCTTCACCAGCTTCAGTGCTCTTCTCTGCACATGCTTGAGCAACGTAATACCCTTCTTGTAAGGGGCACAAAACTGAACACAGTGCTCAAGGTGAGGTCTCATCAGTGCCACATTCAGGGCTCAGTCCCTTCCCTAGTCCTTTTGACTATGCTATTTCTGACATGGGCCAGAATACCATTCTCCTTCTTGGCCACCTGGGCACACTGCTAGCTCATGTTCAGTTGGCTGTTGACCAACATCCCCAGGCCCTTTTCTACTGGGCAGCTTTCCAGCCACTCTTCCCCAAGCCTTTATAGCTGCACTGGGGTGCTGTGACTCAAGTGCTGCATTTGCCAT